AGAGAAACGCTCAAAATGCTGAACTCGAAGTAATGTTTGTCATAATTAAGCCGGGGACTAAATAAACCAGCCGACCAAGCTGGTAGAAGACAGAGCGGTGATCAGGCAGCAAGCTTCTCTATTCTTCTCTCTCTCTCTCTCTCACACTTCCTCTCTCTAGCTCTTCGTTTGCTTTTGAGAAAAAGCTTTCGGTGCAATCCAACTTGCACAGATAATGCACAATGAAGGAGAACCAACGTGAGAGAAGAAGGATAGAGAAAAGCTACCGGGAGTGGGGAGGGGGAAAAAAGAAGGAAAAATCGAAGAAGAGTCTGCGCGCGTAATTGAAGGTAAAAAAAGAAACGGTACAAAGAGAACACAGAGGCTCTGACTTTTATTACGACGAAATTAATTCGAAATCCTCGACCGCGTCGAAAGACTCCTGCCATTAATCACGGATCGACTTAAACGTATGTACCCCCGAATTCTAACCCGATGAAGATCAATTAATTCCGTTAGCGAGGCGTCTAATACCCATTGGCCGATTCGATTTCCTCCTCTTCCTCCCACCACACACCTACCGCCCCTCTTAGGTTGAATAAGATTAACGTGGCAAGAAGGCTCCGGGTAGTTCCACGTCCCGGGGAGCGAGAACACGGAAGAACCGGGTTGGCAATGGATGTACAGGGCAGAGAAAAATGCAATAATCGTAAGCGACCCGAAAACGGGCGGGGAAGAGATAACAGGGGCGAAACTAATGGTAATCACGGTAGACGAAGGAGAACAGAGGAAGGAAAAAAGAAGCGACAGCGCGCGCGGCTACGGGCGAAAGCAAAAATAGGTCGAAGGAATCCTAAGGAGGATTCATTACGCTTGCCGCGGAGGCTGTCTACCAGATAATCTTCAGCGATGACAAAAAAAAGAGAGAGAGAGAGAGGAAGAAGAAAAAAAAACGAAACAAACGGCCGTGGAGGAGGCTGGCTGGCTGGTCTGGCGCGATATTTTCGAAGAAATAAAATCGCGAGGAATAGAAAAGCCGAGGTGAATATGCTATATAGAGACCGCGCGATCCCGTCCATTTCGAACCGTTCCTCCGGAGCGAAAAGGGGGAAAGATGATAGCAGAAGCGAGGCGGAGACGCGTCCGCGAATAAAACGGGAAGAAACTATGAAGTTCTGTTTGGAATGGGCCAAAAAGGATTCTAGACGAGAGTCAGAAGTGGAAAACGGTGGCGGTATTAAAAGCGCCGGGAAACAGTAATCAGCCGGCTGAATTAAGAATTGTAAACACCCGGAAAGGAGAGGCAAAGACGAAAGCTGATTAAAAGGCTTTGCGAGTTGATGGCAGAGAGGATGGGGGTAGAGACGTCGTTTCCAATCGGGCAGAATTCGTTTAAACTCGAAGCCGCCGGCTAACGAAACCACTCCTGGTCAATCGACGAACCGCAAATTTACAAATCCTCCCCGTTTAGAGGAGGGAAGAAGAAGACCAACAAAAAGAGCTGTGAGGAGCCTGCTATTTTCAAGCCGGCCGTCCCTCGGTTCGAACCAAGATGGGAATACGAAGGTTAACATCGTGAGAAGCGTAAAATTTGTTCAGGGAATGGACGAAAGACGTCGTCGTCGTGGCTCGAAAGAGCAAGAAGCGCAGAAGACGGTGAAGTAACACAAGCAGAAGAAGCAGCCAGTAGTAGTAGCAGCAGCAGCAGCAACCACGACGTCGGTGGTAGTAATACCGTGAGTAGCAGCAGCAGTAGCAGTAGCAGCGTTGGCGGCAGCGGTGACGACGACGACAACGACGACGACGACGACGAAGAAGAGGAAGACGACGACAACGACAGTAGTAGTAGTAGTAGTAGTAATCAGGGAAGAAGACGCGTGAAGGAGAAAGGGGTAAGAATGAAGGAGGACGGAGCGAGAGTAGGAGGGCTAGAGGAAGGAGGAGGCTGACTGATCGGCAGAGTAGAGGAGAAAGAGCACGCCTGCGCGGATCCCCGGGCGGGCGCGGGCAGTGCCACTGGAGGCCCGGCGGTTTCAGAGCTTCGCCCGGGACGACGAACCGCAGACGACCCGTACGCAAAACTCGGTCGTAGTTAGCCGTGTTGAAGGATCGGTCGTGGAAAAAAGGGCCAAATCACGCGACGACACACAAGGCCCCGCGCGGTTCACGGCTCTGTCCCGTATTTTTACTTTCGTCGCGATCTTCGTTTCCACTTCGGCGTATATCCGGTGACACGAAACGTGCAGACTTGGAAAGCACGTTGGAAGGAGCACGTCGTTACGGTACACACACGGGTTTCGTATCAAGATACGCAGATACGTAAACGACAGTTCATCGAGAGATAATAATATGTGATCAGTGCGACACCGCGTTGGTGGTAATACGGTATATCCTGCAAGAGGTGTGAACGGGGGACGGGGGGAAAAATAGAAAGAAAGAAAGAAAGACACAGGGGACGTCGGTGAATAAAGGGTACTATGCACGAGGTCTGGTAGCATCGAGGATAGCCAAGGAGGATGAACAGAGTGACGACGAAGGGCTAAAAGGGTGGTTTGGGAACAGGTGCACCGGAAGGCAGCAGGCTGGTGTGCTGGTTGTTTTGAAATGTCAGTGGACCCGTCGAAGACAACTACGTCGTCGTTCTCGTCGTCGTCGTCACTGTCTTCGTCATCATGAGGAGATCCTCTTACGTGAACTACTACGTCCTGTGCCTCGTGTGCTGGATTCTCCTAGGCATCACCGGTAAGAGACCACCAGTATTACAGCCGCGTGACATATGTTCGTTCAGTTTTGCCCACGTTCATACACCGCTCCAGTGCCAGTTCTCCGTAGGATCGTGCATCGATCTTTCGAGATTCCCGCGGGAAAGTGTACCACGCCGGCTGACTAAACTAAATCGCTAGCGTAGCGGGGTGGGGAACGGTGGAACGTGGCTTTTCGGGTAATCGTGAATCTCGTGTGCCGTAGGTCCAGGTCCCCGGTGGACTGCCGATGTGCTTCTGTACAAGCCCGTAAAGGGGGGGGGGGGAAGACAGGAGGCGGACCGGGTGACGTGAAACTAGAGAGAGAGAGAGAGAGAAAGAGAGATATGAGAGAGAGAGAGAGAGAATGAAGGAGGGGGGCAGGCGGGGCTGTACTGGAGACTTGTACTGCGGATGGATCGATCAGATTTTGGGGTGTAACTGTGCGTACGTGAATTAGCACGCGTGCAAGACCGTGAAGGTGGTGTTCTACGCTCGAGAATTTGGCAGCTGATCGTGTGTGATTTCACGATCGATGAACGCCGGCTAGAGGATCGAGATACGCGCGAGTGGAGGGAAAAAGGAGGACTCGTAGGTGGGAGGAGGAAGGGGGCTGCCTCCGGACCCGGTCCAGGGCTGTATCTAGCGCCACCCTTGTTTGTCGCGGCGGCGGTATTGTATTTTCCCTATTCTCCTCTTTGTCCCTCTCTTCTTTGTCTCTCTATCTCTCTATCTTTCGCTCCCTCTCTCCCTATCTCTCCCTCCGTCTCTCCGTTCTTCTTTTTTTCTCTTCGCCATCCTTGTCGGGTCACCGTGTCGACTCGATGATTCTGTCATCGTGGCGTTAGGGGGCGAGGTGACGGCAGAAGGGTAAAGCGTGTACCCTCATCTTCGCTGTGACGTCGTTCAGGGACGTGTCTATCGATTTCATCTTTCACGCGGCTGTATCGCGATGATACGGTTTTAGCTTTTTTCCATACACCGCCCGAGCAAAGGTTTCTCTTCTACTCTCTGGTTCGTTGGCGTGGATACTAAACTTCGATAACCACAGAAGGATAAGCGTAACAGAGTCAAGTGCAGGATAATCCACACACCAGCCTCTCCCCCTCTCCGTGGTATCTGTGTTCCTCAATTCACGTTTGATGGCCAGTCTCGACGACAGAGTAATGACTTTAAACTTAATTATAACAGTTAAAACGACGAGTTCGCGCTATTCAACTTTTACTGCTTCCCCGTTTACGGTGCTTCGCCGCTATCAAAAGAATATGGTTAATGGTTCGTCTCTTAAACAGGTCACGCCGCGATATCCGCGCAATTACCCGCGTCTTCCTGCCGGCGGAGCATCAATCTCGAGGCTTATGTAACCCCTTATGAAAATCCCTGTTAGCTGCACCATGAGCGTGTTAATTACTCCAACCCTCCTGAAAACTTTTTTGCTGATTCAATGGATAGTACATTAATTCACGGATCGCTAACCCTCCTCGACATGTTTTATCTTAATGATCTTCCAGGATACCTTTCGTTCCCTCCCTCCCTCCTCCTCTCCGCCCCCCCCCCCTCGATTGTAGAAGCTGCTGCTGGTAGCACCCTTTGCCCGATAATTTTTCCTTTCTGCCGCGGAGCACCCTTCACATAGGACTCTCTCTCTCTCTCTCTCTCTCTCACACTCACTTTCCGATCGTGTCTGGTCGCAAGGGAAAAAGAAACTCGAGCTGGCGAAAAGGATTTATCGAGCACGCCTGTACACGATGGTGCTTTTTCTTATCGATCGCGTGCTCCCTGTGGAAGCAAGGAAACGCGTTTCAGTATGCAAAGTGGGCATCAAGTTGTTGTCGATCGTTGGTCGTTCATTATCCGCGTCGGTCGCTTTATAAATACGTTCCATTCGTCGCTCTCGACGGCGGCTGTTATCGAGCGTGGCCCACCGAGCCGGGAACCGTTGAAATACACACGAAAGGCTGCCAAACCGCGAACTAAACGACACTCGTAGAACTTCCACCCTCCAACCCCCCTTCCCGCCCCTCTCGTGAACGGAGTGCACAAATCGATGCCATTAACGCAACTAACGTGCACTCGGTAATTTTGTTAAACAATTTACCGAATTCTGCCACGACCATGCCACGACCCACCGAACCTTTCTACTATGGTAACATACTCTTAATTGGTTTCAACTACGTACTCCTCCTACCCGCCGATACGTATTTGAAAAGTCCGCAACACGGGTACAATTTCTCTACATATCGACGGGATGCATTATGCACCATCAACCTCTAACATAATCGCGGCACACCCGTTGATTATACCTCACAGTGATTAACCGACCGACACAGTTACCTCCGGAATAGGGGGTTTTCGGCGTTCCCAACAACCGCGCCCGCTTACCCCAAAAAAGGATCGCGTCTTCAACCTGTGCATCTTAACCGGTGTTCCGGGTTCCGTTATCTGCAAACTTTATATTACGGCACACTATGATAATCTCCCTGCAAATTTATCATTGTAGATCCCGCCGCAGAAGGAGGAATTGCAAATTAACATGTTCTCCGCCACGAAGTAGCATAATTTCACCTTATCTTTCATGCATATTCTTTTACATATTTCTCTGTCTATAGCTAGCCCCGATGCTACACGCGTGCATATCTCCCACGTATGTTTTAACGAGTAATAACGGTGGTTTAAAAATGACCACCATAATTTCAACCTGTTCACAGACCGTATTAGAAAGAGTCTCGTAATAATTCACACTTTACAAAATACAGCCGATTAAAAGCTAGATGTACCTGTTACTTCCCTCGAATCTTGCCACGTCGCACGATTAAAATTCCATCAACCCTAAACCTTCCCCGGGGATGGAACACGTTAGGCGGCAGAGGCTTATCGGTAAAATCGAACCGAATCGTCGGTTCAAACGCTGAAACGGTTCGGCGTTCGCAAGCATAAATAGTTGTCCTCCTAATGGCGCCACATCGAGCGAAAATCGAGCGATAAGCATTAAATCGGCGTGCAGAGCACGGGAAGCGCGAGCGATGGAAGTAGTCGGACGTAAATGTTTGATGAACTAGTAAGACAGAAAATCGTGTTAGCCTCCCCCAGGAGATAGGGCTAGGAAGAACGACGTTCGGGGTGGGGGCAGAGAGAATCCCGATTTATGTTTCAGTTTAGTATCCGATGACGTCGTAAAATTACACCGAACACTCGTACGTGTCGTTCTAATAAAGCAGCGAGGAAAACGCACTACCGGTGGTCGCTCGATTTTTCCACACCGACCGTGTCAGCCTATGGCCCCATGGGAAATATTCGTCAGAGATCCTCTTTCTGTTACCGAGAAATTTATTTCCACTTTCACCTGCCATCGTGGATTACGTACTTCCTATTTCTTCTTTTTTCCCTCTTTCTCTATTTTCTTTCGTGTTCACGGATGATTTCATTCGATTGCGCAACACCTCGCTTCCTGAAACGGGGTGCTGCACCCGTGTTGCGTTTGCACGTAATCATTCCCGGTTTAATAATGTGTTCGCGCGCATCGTTCCACTTGCGCTCGAACAAACGATAAGCTCATTAACCATGTTAATCAGCAGGCTTACCAGCGGAGGAATAGAAAGCATGTTTCAATTATACGTATTTTGTAAAGCGTCACTTCGTTAGATTACAATTATCCGAGCTTATTTTCGATGCAAGTGTATCTACACCACCGTAAGAATTTCCTCTAATTCCTTCTCTCTGTTCACTCGAAGATGTGAGAAATTCTTCGAAAGAATTGTACCTTCTTTTTTCTTAATAAATCTTAGAAAGCAAGTTAAATCCTTGACATTTTCGCTAAACGAGGTTGCTTACTTAAGTAAAGAATATTGCGAATGAATTTGAATTTAATAGAAAACACTCCTAAGAAAAGTGTTTGGATAATTTCGTGGGATAAGGAGTTTGTATATTTTCCTGGAGAAACGTTGTTTAAATCGTCCTATACTTTCTGTATAAATAGCGATAGCGAGGTCGTAAATTAAACTCTGAAGAATCGGCATCGATTGATGTTGCGGCACTCAAGGCCGTGTGTTGCAGTCTGTTTGAGGGTTCCAACAATAAACGAATGGTAGCATATGATTTGATACTTCAAGTAGAAAATGGTATTTCATTTACAAATGGAAAATATGTTAATATTAAAGCTACACAATCCTTTTGCATTTTCTATCTGTATATAACACGAGCAGGTAAATGAAGATGTTAAAGACCTCGATAAGACCTTTACTTGTAACCGTACTTCCAAAAGCGGCTTTTCCCAGAAGAAAAAAACCCTAAATTGTCCTAGCTGAACTCAATTTTCAGTAAATATATTAGAATCAGTTTGACTTTCGCTGGATATAAGAATTCTTTGTACGGTCCTGACCATGGTTTCAAGTACTTATCTGCTCGTATTTCTGTCAATTTCGGGGTCCCGGCAGCTAAAACATGTTTACTTTGACGCCTAACCGATTTTGCGACCTCGCTATATCGTGGCCCCGACTGTATGTATAATTTCATTTTTGCGAAGACAATCGTGGTAACGTTTAAACGTGCCCGAAGGTAGTCCATAGATTCACTGTTGTTCGTCGCTGTATAGTTAATACTTGCTCTCGTTTGGATAGGGACTTCGTTGCTGGTGTTCCAACTAGGTTTATCGGATATCTAAACTTCGGCGTATTGACATAGCGCCAGTGCGTTCTCCCGCATCTCCGAAGCCGTTTGAATATCCCGGAACTACGTTGTAGAACAACACGGTTTATGGATCAAAAGCTTCTAATAGTTTTAATCGTAAGAACCCGTGTATTATCGTACTTTGTAAGTCATTTTTCAAGCAAACCTTGTTTCTCCCGTTGTTACGATCTTCAAGTTCTTGCTTCGAAAATATTAATACTCTGTCGAAGAATCTATCCAGAGAATGCGACAAAGAGTAGGATATAATTACAAGCAAACTACCGTACAATTTTACGTTACAATTCAGGTATAGTGTACACGGTTTCTATCGCCAAC